CTGCTGTCTCCCTCGCCACACTCTGGGCCCTTTTGCCCCTTTAAAGGGTTCCCCACACAATGCTGGGTGTGTTGAATTTTTTGACATTAGGGTGCTGGCAGAGTGACGGGGCCTCTATAGCTGCAGCCAGGCCCTAATCTGCCTATGGCCCCATATATACCGCCTCCTCATGCTGCTGCCAAGTCCTGAGTCTGCATGGCCCGGGTCCCTGTATGGCCTCCCATTGCTGCTGTCTTCCATCGCCACACTCTGCCATGTGCCACTTTCAGGGTCTCGCTCACAATGCTGGGTGTTGTGTTGAATTTTTTTGACTTTTAGGGGTGCTGCAGGATTTACGGGACTCCTATAGCGCTGGCTGCCAGGCCCCTAATCTGCCATAGGTCCCGATATACCGCCTCCTCATGCTGACTGCCATTGTCCAGAGTCTGTCATGGGTCCCTGTACGGCTCTACCATTGCTGCTGTCTCCATCGCCACACTCTGCCATGTGCCACTTTCAGGTCTTCCTCACCCCACCTTGCTGGTGTGTTGGATTTTTTGACATTTGGTGCTGGCAGATTACGGGCTCTCCTATAGCTGCTGCCAGGCCCCTAATCTGCCTTAGGCCCCTCTATTACCGCCTCCTCATGCTGCTGCCAGGTCCAGGAGTCTCTCATGGGGTCCCTGTTCGGCCTGCCATTGATGCTGTCTCCATCGCCACACTCTGCCTTGTGCTACTTTCAGGTCTCCTCACACAATGCTGGTGTGTTGAATTTTTGACATAGGGTGCTGGCAGATTACGGGCCCTCCGATAGCTGCTGCCAGGCCCCTATCTGCCATAGGCCCCTATATACCGCTATTCCTCATGCTTGCTGTTTCAGGTCCGAGTCTCTCATGGGTCCCTGTACGGCCTCCCATTGCTGCTGTCTCCATCGCCACACTCTGCCATGTGCCACTTTCAGGTTCTTCTCACACACTGCTGGTGTGTTCAATTTTTTGACATAGGGTGCTGGCAGATTACGGGCCTCCCATAGCTGCTGCCAGGCCCCTAATCTGCCATAGGCCCCTATATACCGCCTCCTCATGCTGCTGCCAAGTCCAGAGTCTGTCATGGGTCCCTGTACGGCCTCCCATTGCTGCTGTCTCCATCGCCACACTCTGCCATGTGCCACTTTCAGGTCTCCTCACACTGCTGGTGTGTTTTTTAATATTTTTTTGACATAGGGTGCTGCAGATTACGGGCCTCCTATAGCTGCTGCCAGGCCCTAATCTGCCATAGGCCCCTATATACCGCTCTCTTCATGCTGCTGCCAAGTCCAGAGTCTGTCATGGGTCCCTGTACGGCCTCCCATTGCTGCTGTCTCCATCGCCACACTCTGCCAAGTGCCACTTTCAGGTCTCCTCACACACTGCTGGTGTGTTGAATTTTTTGACATAGGGTGCTGGCAGATTTACGGGCCTCCTATAGCTGCTGCCAGGCCCCTAATCTGCCATAGGCCCCTATATACCGCCTCCTCATGCTGCTGCCAAGTCCAGAGTCTGTCATGGGTCCCTGTACGGCCTCCCATTGCTGCTGTCTCCATCGCCACACTCTGCCATGTGCCACTTTCAGGTCTCCTCACACTGCTGGTGTGTTGAATTTTTTGACATAGGGTGCTGGCAGATTACGGGCCTCCTATAGCTGCTGCCAGGCCCTAATCTGCCATAGGCCCCTATATACCGCCTCCTCATGCTGCTGCCAAGTCCAGAGTCTGTCATGGGTCCCTGTACGGCCTACATTGCTGCTGTCTCCATCGCCACACTCTGCACATGTGCCACTTTCAGGTCTCCTCACACACTGCTGGTGTGTCTGTTGAATTTTTTTGACATAGGGTGCTGGCAGATTACGGGCCCTCCTATAGCTGCTGCCAGGACCCCTAATCTGCCATAGGCCCCTATATACCGCCTCCTCATGCTGCTGCCAGGTCCAGAGTCTCTCATGGGTCCCTGTACGGTCCCCCCCCCTCCCATTGCTGCTGTCTCCATCGCCACACTCTGCCATGTGCCACTTTCAGGTCTCCTCACACTGCTGGTGTGTTCCATTTTTTTGTCATAGGGTGCTGCAGATTACGGGCCTCCATAGCTGCTGCAGGCCCCTAATCTGCCATGGGCCCTATACCGACTCCTCATGCTGTGACGTTGCTAACATGGTGGAATTCAACCCTACATATGTTAGACCGCCTTCACGAACAGCAAAAGGCCATCACAGATTTCCTGATGTTAAAAGCGGATAAAGGTACTCCCTGTGTAACTTAGATGTCAGCCATTGGCAGCTCATGCGTGACACCTGCGCTTGCTCAGGCTCTTTGAGGAGGCCACGCTATTCGTGAGTCGGCAGGACTATGGGATGAACGACGTCATTCCTCTGTTGCACGTCCTGGAACAAATGCTGTTAACAATGGCTGGTCAGGGTGCGGTAGACATGGCGCACAGATCTCAACGCCACATGACCCCTGTGGGGGCAGGACAGGAAGAAGAGGAGGAGGTAGAGGAGGACATTGGTGCTCTGGAATTATTGAGTGAAATGGGTGGTTTTTCCACTCAGCGGACAGGAGTGGAGGAGCAGGAGCATCTGGTAGAGGAGGAGGAAGAGGAGACAGAGGACCCAGACGCACCGTGGCAGTATGCTGTGGAGATGGAGGCAGGGAGTCCCTCGCATTCCTTGGCACAAATGGCCCATAGCATGCTCGCTTGCTTGCGTAGTGACAGCCGAATAATAACCATCAGACAGAGAGGGATGACTTTTGGCTGTCCACCTTGTTGGACCCTCGCTACCGTTCAAAAATGGTGGCCTTTTTCACACCTGCTGAGAGGGAGGCCAAAATAACGTACTATAAAAACCACCTATGTAGTCAGCTGGTCTCTGCCTGTCTGCACCAACGTCCATCCTCAGACACTGTGGGCCCTGTGCGCTCGCGTTCCGCTGCCATGGCAGCAGGGAGGACCTCAAACAACAGGCTTAGGCCTACTTGGACAGCACCCTGCCAACCGAGGTAGACAATCCCCTTGACTACTGGGCAACGAAACTTGACCTTTGGCCCCAACTAGCTGAATTTGCCCTTGAAAGGCTGTCATGCCCGGCCAGTAGCGTGGCATCGGAGCGCGTGTTTAGTGCGGCAGGAGGTATTGCAACTCCGCGGAGGACACGACTGTCCACCCAAAGTGTGGAGAGACTCACGTTTGTGAAAATGAATCAGGCGTGGATTAGTCTGGATTTCAAACCACCAGTTCCTGACACAACTGACTAAATCCGCCATGAATCATGCCCCAAACATGTGCCACTTTCAGGTCTCCTCACACTGCTGGTGTGTTCCATTTTTTGTCATAGGGTGCTGGCAGATTACGGGCCTCCCATAGCTGCTGCCAGGCCCCTAATCTGCCATGGGCCCCTATACCGCCTCCTCATGCTGCTGCCAAGTCCAGAGTCTCTCATGGGTCCCTGTACGGCCTCCCATTGCTGCTGTCTCCATCGCCACACTCTGCCATGTGCCACTTTCAGGTCTCCTCACACTGCTGGTGTGTTCCATTTTTTGTCATAGGGTGCTGGCAGATTACGGGCCTCCCATAGCTGCTGCCAGGCCCCTAATCTGCCATGGGCCCCTATACCGCCTCCTCATGCTGCTGCCAGGTCCAGAGTCTCTCATGGGTCCCTGTACGGCCTCCCATTGCTGCTGTCTCCATCGCCACACTCTGCCATGTGCCACTTTCAGGTCTCCTCACACTGCTGGTGGGTTCCATTTTTTGTCATAGGGTGCTGGCAGATTACGGGCCTCCCATAGCTGCTGCCAGGCCCCTAATCTGCCATGGGCCCCCGTACCGACTCCTCATGCTGCTGCCAGGCCCGTAATCTGTCATGGGCCCCTGTTGTCGCTTGTTGGCATATTCCGCTCGTTCAGATGCTCCTTCTCCTGCTACTCCTCTTCACGGATTCCGTCAGCAGTCTTTCTTGGAATCCGTTTCCAAGAGACAACAGTTTGCGAGCACGCACCCGACGGTGCAGAAGCTGAACGTCCTCCTGTCCAAGTTGCTGCTGCCAGGCTCGTAATCTGTCATGCGCCCCTGTACCGCCTCCTCATGCTGCTGCCAGGTCCAGAGTGTGTCATGGGCCCCCGTACCGACTCCTCATGCTGCTGCCAGGCCCGTAATCTGTCATGGGCCCCTGTACCGCCTCCCCATGCTGCTGCCAGGTCCAGAGTGTGTCATGGGTCCCTGTACGGCCTCCCATTGCTGCTGCCAGGCCCGTAATCTGCCATGGGCCCCCGTACCGACTTCTCATGCTGCTGCCAGGCCCGTAATCTGTCATGGGCCCCTGTACCGCCTCCTCATGCTGCTGCCAGGTCCAGAGTGTGTCATGGGTCCCTGTACGGCCTCCCATTGCTGCTGTCTCCATCGCCACACTCTGCCATGTGCCACTTTCAGGTCTCCTCACACTGCTGGTGGTTTCCATTTTTGTCATAGGGTGCTGTATGGCCTCCCATTGCTGCTGCCTCCACCGCCACACTGTGGCTCCACACTCTGGTTTTGGCCCCGTGACTGGCCAAATGAGTGAAGTGTGCGGTGATTCTAAGATCGACGGCACTCATCTGCATGTCATACTGACTGACAGTATTATTTCTCTTCCCCAGCAGACTCCAAGGGCATTTAAATTAAAGGTACAGTGTTCTGCACTAATATTAAGTCTCTCTGAAGCCTAGAAACACCCTTTTTTAAGTTAAATTCACAGCGAATATATTCGACTCGAATCAAAATTTTTCCACGAATTCGCCGAATCAGTCGAATCGAATTTTTGAATACTTCGCTCATCTCTACTCATGACCATCGACCCGGTTAGGACGAGGCCGAGGCGGAGAGGCAGTAAAGTGATTACAGACCAGAGGCTTCAACAGGGGTACATGGAAGACATTGGAGATATGCATCCCAGGAGGAAGAGCAAGGGCATAGGCAACCGGGTTCACCCTGTGGAGGATGCGGAAAGGACCAACGGGGAGCCAGTTTCGGTGCGGGTACCCGAAGATTGAGGTTACGAGTGGACAACCACACCCGATCTCTGACCTGGTATGAAGGAGCGGGCAACCGTCTATGATCAGCCTGGAGCTTCTGGCGCTGAGCTGAGTCCTTCAAGGACCTCTGGATCTGCCCCCATGAGGAACGCAGGGCAGCAAGATGGTTATCCACAGCCGGAATGTCCTGTGGCGAGAACAACTCAGGCAATACAGCGGGTTGGAATCCATAGTTGGCCATGAAGGGAGACATCCCGGAGGAGGAGTTGACAGCCGAGTTCCTCGCAAACTCTGCCCATGGCAGAAGATCGACCCAATTGTCTTGATGGTCAGAGATATAGCAGCGAAGGTATTGTTCCAGGGCCTTGTTGGAACGCTCCGCAGCCCCATTGGACTGCGGGTGGTAGGCCGAAGAGAAGGAGAGCTTGATACCCAACTGGGAGAAGAAGGCGCGCCAGAACCTGGACACAAACTGGCTCCCACGGTCTGAGACAATCACCTTAGGCAACCCATGCAAGCGAAAGATCTCCCTGGCAAAAACCGTAGCCAGTTCTTGCGCAGTTGGAAATTTCTTGAACGGAACACAATGGTACATCTTGGAGAAACGATCAATGACCATAAGAATGACCGTATGGCCTCGAAACACAGGGAGGTCTACAATAAAATCCATGCCCAGGTGTGACCAGGGACGCTCCCCATTGGGAATGGGTTGCAGAAGGCCTAATGGAAGATGCCGAGGAGATTTATTCTGGGCACAGACAGAACATGCCTCATGACATATGAGGCGATGTCGGAACCAAGAGATGGCCACCAGAATAAACAAGAAATGACCAGGACAACTGGTCCCTACCTGGATGACCGGCGTTCTTGGAATTATAGTAGGTACGCAGCAAGCGGATGCGCAGTCCCTCAGGTACGAAACATCTACCAGCCGGTCTCTCAGAGGGAGCATCAGTTTGAGCCGCCAAAATCTGCTCCCCAAAGGGAGATGTCAGGCTGGTACGAATGGCAGCCAGGATCTGATCCGGAGGTATGACTGAGGTCGGCTCAGAGTCCTCCCTGGACAGCTCAGAGTATTGCTGCGACAAGGCATCAGCTGTCAGGGCTCCAGGGTATGACCAGAGGTATGTGAACTGACGCAGGAAAACGCAGGCTTCAGATATGTTATAAACAATACAATTTATTAATACTAACATTACATAAGCACAGTGCAATACTAAAACATAACACAGTGCAAACGAACCAAACCACCTCAGATAACAATACATACAATGCAAGCGTCGTCAGGCAGGCCGGGTCAATAACAATCGGGCAGGTAGGAACAGGAGGAGCAGGCAGAGAGTAGTCAGGTCACGAGCCGGGTACAGCAACTAACGGGCAGGTAGGTACAGGGGGTCAGGCAGAGAATGGTCGGGGTCACAAGCCAGGGATCAAACAGGAGAAGTCAGCAGAGGTCCGGATCAGGCAGGGTCGGCAACGAATCAGTCAGACAGGAACAGGAACAGGAATGCAGGTAACAAGATACAGGGGCCCATAGAAAACCACACACCAAGGCACAGACTGCAGGTCTGGCCATCCCTTAAATACACCTGCAATCAGCCTCAGGTGTTTTGGCTGACTGCAGGGTTGAGTCTCTGATTGCTGAGAGCACCTGCTGGCCAGCCCTGGTACTGCAGCCCACAAGGCAGGTGAGTCCCACTATTACTGGCAAGTCCATTCCTGACAGTACCCCCCCTCAAGGAGCGGCCTCAGGACGCTCCAAACAGTCCTAGCTGGGCAAAATGTTCCACCGCCCGGGTCTGGTAACTGGCGGGATATCAAAGACTGGCACATCGGGCTGGACTCCGGGCAGAGGCACATCGGGCTGGATTCTGGGCAGCGGCACATCGGGCTGGACTCCGGGCAGCGGCACATCGGGCTGGACTCCGGGCAGCGGCACATCGGGCTGGACTCCGGGCAGCGGCACATCGGGCTGGACTCCGGGCAGAGGCACATCGGGCTGGACTCCGGGCAGAGGCACAGGGCCCCCAGGAGGAGCAGCAGGCACAGGGCCCCCAGGTGGGGCAGCAGGCACCGGGCCCCCAGGCGGAGCGACAGGCACAGGGCCCCCAGGCGGAGCGACAGGCACAGGGCCCCCAGGAGGAGCGGCAGGCACAGGGCCCCCAGGAGGAGAGGCAGGCACAGGGCCCCCAGGAGGAGCGGCAGGCACAGGGCCCCAAGGAGGGGCGCCAGGCGCCGGGCCCCCAGGAGGGGCGGCGGGCGCCGGGCCCCCAGGCGGAGCGGCGGGCGCCGGGCCCCCAGGCGGGGCGCTGGGCCCCCAGGTGGAGCGGCGGGCCCCCAGGCGGAGCGTCGGGCCCCCAGGCGGAGCGGCGGGCGCCGGGCCCCCAGGCGGAGCGGCAGGTGCCGGGCCCCCAGGCGGGGCGGCGGACGCCGGGCCCTCAGGAGGGGCGGCAGGCACTGGGCCCCCAGGAGGGGCGGCAGGCACCGGGCCCCCAGGAGGGGCGGCAACGAATCAGTCAGACAGGAACAGGAACAGGAATGCAGGTAACAAGATACAGGGGCCCATAGAAAACCACACACCAAGGCGCAGACTGCAGGTCTGGCCATCACTTAAATACACCTGCAATCAGCCTCAGGTGTTTTGGCTGACTGCAGGGTTGAGTCTCTGATTGCTGAGAGCACCCGCTGGCCAGCCCTGGTACTGCAGCCCACAAGGCAGGTGAGTCCCACCATTACTGGCAAGTCCATTCCTGACATCAGCCTTGTCGCGGCAATTCTTGGAGCCAGGCAAATAGGAGACCACATAGTTAAAACACAACAAGAACAGAGCCCATCTGGCCTGACGGGCGTCAACCTCTTAGTTTCCGAGAGATACGTCAGGGTCTTGTGGTCAGTGAGAATGAGAACCGGAAGTGCAGAACCCTCAAGCAGGTGCCTCCATTCCTTGAGAGCCTGAATAATGGCCAACAACTCCCTGTCTCCAATCTGGTAGTTGCATTCTGCGGAAGAAAGCTTCCTGGAGTAGAACCCACAGGGAAGTAGGGGTCCATCGGGCGACCAACGCTGAGACAGGAGGGTGCCTACTCCCGTCTCAGATGCATCAACCTCGAGGACAAAAGGCAACCCAGGATTGGGATGAGACAGTATCGGAGCCGAAGCGAAGGCGGATTTCAGAGCTTCGAAAGCTAAGATGGCCTCGGATGACCACTCGTGGGGATTGCTGCCCTTCTTGGTCAGATCTGAGAGAGGCTTGGCCAGCGTGGATTTCTTAACTTGTATTGATGAGAAATGTTCAGATAGAAAGTCCTTCCATTTCTTGTATAAACTCAAAAAGATGATTTAATAATAACGTTGCATAAAATTAGAAATAAAATATTGGAATACAGAATGTTTAAATAAAGTCCAAAAAGTATAGTTAAGTTCTTAATAATAAAATTGTATGTAATTGTGTGTGTATAATATGAATGTGTGTAGATATGAGCAAGCAGCTCCCTTCGCCTTGCTGTCCAAAGAAATGTATGCTTTAAACCTTTGTCCTGCTCTAGAAAGCAATCCAGCCCCCACCTTTTCCTCAAAATGGGCTGATATACTTGTAGTCCCACAAAGATAATTGGAAACAGATGTATATATATATAACAAACCCTCCAGCCTACTTCTCTCAAAGTCTGAGTGTAACTTTATCTCTTACATAGATGGGGGAGGATGGTAGACCAATTGCTACCATATGTGGCTTGAATGTAAAGGAAACCCAAGATATATGTTCATATATAAATTCACAAACTATGAAGTCTAATCACTTACTTTTCCCAATCTAGAACAAATATAAATATAATAACTCAATTATTCTATTAAGATCCAACTCATTCATACTTTGTTAGTACTGTTAATAAGAAGATATTAGATATTTAGGTTAAGGAAAGCTTCTAACATTTCCCTCTCAAAATGATCGATTTTATCGAATCTTAATCATTTTCCTTATCTTAATCCATTTATACACATTCTCGTCACTTTCGTATCCATTCAAGCGTTTTTGGATCTTAAGATAATTGATCTGAACTTATCTTCAATTTGATTCTATAATGGGAAAACAAATTCTTTGATAAACCTTTTTTGTTATGTATCACATAAAAATATTTTTACCCTTATTATTTTCCTTTCCTTTTACCAAATAATTCATCCCCTTAATAAATGTATAACTGTAACATTATAGTACAATACTTTAAAATATGCACACTTAAAAAAAATAGATGTTTCATATTTTCCCTCCAAAATGTGTGTAGCACACAGTTCTATAATCCATACATTTTTCAAAATACCTTATCAACATTTAAACATAACATATGTTCTCTAACTTCAATCCATACATGTATATCAAATTTTTTTTTTAAAAAAACATACATATAACAATGTAAAGCTTGCCTAAGTTTTTCTATATGTACCTTAGAAAAACTTATCTCTAGCTTAATTAACAACAGATGTTCTAACTAATTAGAGTGACTCTGTTGTAACAAAAGTTTAACCCTTTCACTTCTGAAAATACATAGTGTGTGATTGCAAATGTTCATGTGAAAACTGATCTCATCTTGATATGGTAAACATATATGTCAAAATAAAATGTACACACAAAAAAAACCAATATATCTGATGATGAATGAATTATTTCATCAGTAGTCAAA